CCCAGCCAGCTTTGCTGGCTGGGGAATTCTGGGAGTTGAAGTCCTCCAGGCTTAACGTTACCAAGGTTGGACACCCCTGTTCTAGAAGATAAAGTGGGAGGGCTCCCAAAAATAGGCATTCTGTGGGTAGCTCCACTTGTCTGGAATAACTTGCCCTCCCCCCCGCTTCCCCGAAGGAAGGGTAGCTCGTGTTCCCTTTGCCCTTCCAGAAGGTTGTAAAAACCTGGCTGTTCTGGAAGGGCTTTGGATTTCTTTATTATATTTATTAAGACCTAGTATGTATGTTGCTATTATAATTGGGGTTATATATATATATTTTTTCAAGTTTTATTTTTCAATTGCTATGTCATTTTGTTGCTGTTGCTCTTGTACTGTGTTTACAGTCTTTGAAATTGAGGCCCGTGTAATTAATAAACATGCTTCCAGTAGATTTATCTTGCCTACTTTAGATGAGATTAATCCCTGCAACAATAGACTGAAAATGTCAGATCCATGTTTTCCGTATCTGATGTTCCTTCCTTGCTGCTTAATAGATAATACCTCTTCTGACTCCATGTGAGGCACTTTCTTGTCTCTGTGTATAACATGATAAAAGTCACTTCTCACAAGCAGTAAAACTGGATCTAAAACTAACCTGTGAATATTGTCTTTAAAGAGGTGATTATAATACTTATTCTATGATCATCGTTCAAATCTTACCAAAAATATTTAACATAACATTTTTGGAAGTGAGATGCAGAAAGGTGCTGATCATAGCAATTTTAACCTGGATGACAGACCAGATTAGATTATTTAAAAAAAAAAACTTTGTCCACCTCTCCATGGAGAATATTCTTTCTTTCATTTTTACATGGTCAATTTGCCTTTTAGCCATTTAATTCTATACAGAATGTGGCAGAACCTTTAATTATTACCAAGCATTACCAAATTTCCCCTTTTGCTAATTGTTGCATTTTGATGTGCACCGTTATTCCAGGCTTAGAAACACTGAAGGAAGGATGCGGAGGTGCGTTTTCAGAATTTAGGAGGTTGTAAGAGAGCAAAGTGTGTATGTGGAGCTTTCAGATATTTAAGGCATTTATTTTGCTTGCCCATTAAAGCACCTAAAACCTCCTTCCAGAACCTGCCATTTTTGGAGTGTTCATGCTTGACAAGGCATATAAAACCCAGAGCTGTCCTTGAGCCAATGGTCCTTGTCTGCCTTTACATGCTCTTATAAAATTCATGTCACGTGTAGGCAAAGATAAAATGCTCCAGTTTAATTCTCCACAAATATACCTTAATTATTAGAGGTCTGGGAGCTATGGGATAAAGTTTTGTGACTATTATTTGTTCAGAAAACTGAGCATAATGCAACATTACCAATATTAAAAAAAATAAAAACGACATTTCATCTGAGCAATATTTTATTCTCCAAACCAATCTATAGCACAGTCAGCAAGTGCTTTTATGAACATATTTATAATACAATCAAAGTGCCTATCCTTATTTGGCTGGAGAAATTAATTATTTAGATTAATGAGCAATGTAAGAAAAAGACTATTCTAGATACCTGTAACTTCCTGGCTCATGCATTTCATTCATTTGTTGCTTATATTACGTACAGTTTATAATTTCTTCTTTGGTTCTGTGCTGTGTTGCTCTCACCCAGAATCTATTAGCAGTGGGGTAATCTACAAGTATTGTTAATAAACTGGATGAGTCAGCAGGAGGGGAGAGAAACCTCAACAGTGTGATTTTCATAATCACACCCTCAGCCCTCCAGTTGAATGCAGCACATTGGAAGGCGTGCATTGAAACCTCAGCACAGGCGGGCCCCCAGATGGGATTTTTAAATTAAGGCCTGGATGGAGAACACCCGGTGAGATTTTTTTCCCCCCCCCAGGATGATTGTGTTAGGGAACCCTTTCTGTCTTTGGAGCTCAGAACTGTGTTTTCCTTGTTTCTTGTCCCTCATTTTCTTTTCGCTCGGCAGGTGGCAAATCTGAAGAAGACAATTAAGGTAACCACAGCAGCTGCAGCTGCGGCAACCTCCCAAGACCCCGAGCAGCACTTGTCAGAACTCCGGGAGCCTGCACCGGGTACCAACCAGCGCCAGGCTAGCAAGAAGGCCTCCAAGGGCAAAGGGTGAGACGGCATTCCAGTGAAGGCTGGCTATCACTTTTCTGCAGATAGGGCAGGAAAGCAGAGCATTGCCTGAGGTGTTCGTCAGTCCCTTACATTGGGGCTCTAGCAATTTACATGTAGAGTCTGTAAAGCCCTTGTCTTGAGCGTTCGGGCTGAACTTCTGCTGGTCCTCATTCCAAGGCGTTCTTTTTCTCTGCAGGCTCCGGGGCAGTGCAAAGATCTGGTCTAAATCAAACTGACAGAACTGCTGGCTGGGGAGTTGAAACAGGTGTCCCACATCTGGTGCTTTCTTCTTCAATCCAGATGTATTTCTGTGCAACCTTGTCCCTGTGTAAATGATTCTGCCTTCCCATTATCTTCTTTTTGTGTTTCTTACAGCTGCTTTCCCCTGCTCCTCTCTGGTAATCTTGTTTGTACCTTCTCTATTTTGAGTGCTGCTTCTCTCCCCCCCTCTCTCTCCCTCCCTCCCTCCCCCTCCCCCTCTCTCTTTCCTTACTTTTGTTTTCTTGAATGCATTTTTAAGGAGCCATGAAATGGCTGGTGTTAAAATTACATTTGCACCAACAGGATTGTTGTGGTAGCCTGTGTGGAGACAAATCTGGCATCAAATGGCCGCTTAAATTTTCTGAGGAGATCCTGGGACATTTGCTGTGGGGCATATAGTTTGACATCTCAGTTTCCTGCTTTACTGGGATCTGTGAAAGGGAGGAGTGTTTGTGTGAGTGTTTGAGTGGATTGTTTTTAAAAATAGTATAAATATATAAAGCAAATAAAAAAGTACAGACCTATTTCCAAGAGTATCTTCACTTCGGTGCCATGCTGGTTTGTTTTGGATGTTTTGGTAACTGAATATATAATAGCTTTTATTTTAAAGGTTACAGTGGGACTTTTTTTTAGAGGGAAAATAGTAGGAGAAATAATATATAAGTTTATTAGCATGGGAATAAACCCATGCTAATCAGTACATGAACTGATACTTGGGGGAAGTTCAGACAAACCAAAGAAATGTTAGAACTTACCAATCACTATATTTAGAAGACATCTATCAAAAGCTTTCTTGGTCTTTTGGATGAGGTCAAGCATAGTGTAGATTTGAAAGAACTCTAACGAGAAACCTAGTCAAATAAAATTATGTAATATATCTTCATGGCTGACTGCTAAATAGAAACCTTTGTTTAAAAAAAGGTTCCTGGAAATTACAGGCCAGCTAGCTTAATAGGACTCTGGAAAATTGGGATTTTCCATCCGTGCAGAGTTCCTGTGTATGCCAGATCCTGATTCATGCTGGGCTTACAAAGGTGATCTGGATTTAGCCTGCTGATGGAACAGGACTGGAAACCGTAAGCTGCCTGGGACAAAGTCATTCAAATAAGTGGGACTCAGTACAGAAGTGGGAAGCATAGTTTCCTTTGGCTTGAACCCAGTGTAAAAGCTATTAGTCCATTTTGTTTATTGGGTAAGAAGAGTAGCAAAATGGCAATTTCTGAAGCACTGGAAATCAACTAGTGTCTGCAACTGTTAAAAATGCAGGGAGAAACATCACTTTAGAGACATAGGCTTTCCTAACTGTCTTTGGAAGACAACCTTCTCTTCTACTAACTTAAATGCTGCCCAACTAATATGGGATATATATATTTTTCCCCCCCAAGAAAGGTAGATGGTGTGGGAGGAGGCAGTACTGTAAGAACTAGAGAAATAGAAATAGAGGTGGGCAGCAATTGACAGTGAGAAAAATATGTGAAATTGTTTCAGCTGTAACCTTTGTTTTTAGAAATTGTAAAGAAATATGAAAAAGAGCCCCAACCAAGTGCACAGGAAGAAGATCAGAAAGATTTGGATATATCAAAGCTGGGCTAAGCCTACTTATCCACTGCTAAGACGAACCTTCAGAATTCCCAAAGCTAGGTTAACGTCCTCAGATCAGTGATGATATGCATTCCTCCCTTCTTCGACTCAGGAGGAAAACACATTGTTATGAAAAACACTGTTTCAAGAATCTGTCTTTACTATGCTTCAAAAACAGGACTGGTCAGTGTTGTAACCTGCACACTTTGGAACATGGGGGAAGTTTTAAGGCATTCCTGAGGTCCTCGCCTCTCACATCAAGCCATGTACTAGCAGGAGCTGCCTCTGATATTTTTTTGGGGGGGGGAGCCGGGTTGGGTGGTGGTGGGGAATAGCTCAGAATCTGTATTTTCTGGGCTGAGTGGTCACTTGTTGGCTTGGTTCAGGGCAGGTAATGAGAGAAAGATTACCTAAAGAAGGCTAGGCAGCTGCTAAGAAAGTAAGACATAGAGAAACTGACTGATGTACAGAAGAGGTACTAAACCTTTGCAGTGCCTTGGGAATGCTAAAGCATTGGTGGGTTAGTTAATTTAGTCCAGGTTATTCTGCAGTATGGTGGGATAGACTGAGTTTCAACCAACAGGAACTCTTGGCCCTATATAGGCAGCTATAGGTCCTTTAAGGCTTTGCAGAGAGGAGGCAGAAACAATATCCCACCAAAAACTGCACAGCCCAAGAGTCAAAGTAGTTTAAATTCTCCCAAGTGCTGATAATTCTTCCTTGTTATTTGTCGCAAATGGGTAAGACGGTACCCTTTCCCCAACATTAAAAATCAAGGAGCACCAGGGTCTCTCTACCAACAAGTTATGTAAAAAGATTTGAATGTTTTCAAAAGAAAAGCACTACTCCAGAAAATCTTTAAAATATTGGAGTGGAGGTCGGGGGAAGAAGTACGTGACTGAGAATGGGGGTTGTCATGTAGGTCCTGACAGTCTCCCCCCCCCCAGTGGGAATATTGATCTCATGGAAGATAAATGTTCCATTAGCTTGATTAGATTAGGTTGACATGATATCCAATAAATGAACTGTGCTCACATATACAAGTTGCACTGGTGATGTGTCCAGTCCCTCTGGAAGCCGTGGCAAAACTGGCCATTGAAATGGTTGTATCCAACAACCAGATGGGAAGGGATGGTCCTGCAGCTGGATAGCTAGTGCCCAGCTAACCCTTCAAAGCCTAGGAAGGTTTTCCTGCCAACATAGAATGGAAACACTTGTGCACAACTTCAGCGTGGCCAAGCTAGCAATGAGATGGCTAATCTGTTCGAAGGACACTTTTTGGCAAATAAATAAGATGCCTTCATACTACAACAACAACCATGATATGGGCTACACTTGTGCTTCATTTGTTAAAAAGGGAACATTAATCTTATAACAATCTTTTGGTCACTTGAATCTGAACTGTTATGAAATGTGCCAGGCAAAGCCAGTCTTATTTCTGAAAACAAAGGTAGGTATTTCTTTCTGCTAGGCAACTTATAGCACAAAAGGTAGCAGTGTGTTAAAAGAGAAATGTTTAAATTCCTATTCACTTTCAGGCACTAGATGACCTTCGGCTATTCAATAACTCTCTTAGCCTAATGTTCTCAAAGGGCTGGTGTAAGGGCAAAACAAAATAATGATTCTGTGTCTTGCTGGTTTTATTTATTCATTAGTGTATTTATTTTTACTTACAAGCTTTTCACTCTGCTTTATCATCCATTGCCCAAAGGGAGCTTACAGTAGAGAGACAAAAGTTATAACAGTTCTAGAGAATTTGCAGGAAACAGGAGGCAGCAACTATTAAAAGCAGTTAAAAATAACGGGAGAAGGGAATGGATCTAATGTGGAAGCCTGGTGCATGTGGGAAAGGGAAGGGAAGTCTACCTGTAGGCCAGTAGTCTAAAGCTCACATGAGAGGAGGGAGGAGATAGTCCTTTTAGATACATTCTGATCTTAAATCAAACTGGCTTTAAAAATACCTTTCTTCTATTTAAACATGGACTAGAAACCTTCTAACATGGTATACCTTGAGTAATACGCATGGCTGTCCAGCCCAAACAGATTAAAGTGAAAATGACCTCCCCCTAGGCTTTGGTATAAGGACCTTCCACATGGATTACTCACAAAATGGGAGAACAGTGTTTCAACAATCACACTGAGGTAGCTTGAACAGAGGACACCCCTCTTAATTTGTCCCTATCCTGGCCTTGGGTAAGATTGGCAGTTGTCCTTTTTTGCTACATTTCAAAAGGGTCTCTCTCTTCCCCCCACTTTCCCCAAGGTTTGCCCCAGCACAGGCCTGGCTGTGCAGTTTCTCTGGCAGGCTTTCATGTGATCTAGACAATGCCTGTGCTCCAATTGATCACTATGGATCTGCCATGATGTCCCTTTCCTAGTGACTAAATTAGTAGACCAGCAAAATACTGTGAACATAATATATTTAGATTTCAGTAAGGCATTCGATAAAGTAGACCACAACCTACTTCTTAGTAAGCTAGAAAAAAGTGGAATAGATAGCACCACCACTAGATGGATTCGCAACTGGCTGGCAAACCGTACTCAACGAGTAGTCCTTAATGGGTCTACATGGAGGGAAGTAAGCAGTGGGGTGCCACAAGGTTCCATCTTAGGCCCAGTACTCTTCAATATCTTCATTAACGACTTAGATGAGGGAATAGAAGGGGAACTTACCAAATTTGCAGATGATACTAAGCTGGCAGGAATAGCTAACACCCAAGAAGATAGGCTCAAGATCCAGATGGATCTTGACAGACTAGAACACTGGGCCATATCCAATAAAATGAAATTCAATATAGAGAAAAGTAAAGTCCTACACTTAGGCAAGAAAAACCAAAAGTACACATATAGACTGGGTGAAACCAGGCTCAATAGCAGTAACTGTGAGAGGGATCTTGGAGTCTTAGTGGACAACCAGCTAAATATGAGCCAGCAGTGTGCAGCCGCCGCCAAAAAAGCTAATGCAATCCTAAATTGTATTAACAGGGATACAGTCAAGATCAAGGGAAGTGCTAATACCACTCTAAAGCCTTAGTAAGACCACATCTAGAGTACTGCAGTTTTGGTCACCACATTATAAAAAAGATGTTGAGACTCTCGAAAAAGTACAGAGAAGAGCAACCAGGATGATTAGGGGCTGGAGGCTAAAACATACAATGAACGGTTGCAGGAACTGGGCTTGGCTAGTCTAGTAAAGAGAAGGACCAGGGGAGACATGATAGAGGTCTTACAATATTTGAGGGGTCAAGCTATTTTCTAAAGCTCCTGTAGGCCAGACAAGGAATAATGAATAGAAGCTGAACAAGGAGAGATTTAACCTGGAAACAAAGAGAAACTTTCTGACAGTGAGAACAATCAACCAATGGAACAGCTTGCCCTCGGAAGTTGTGGGAGCGCCATCAGTTGAGACTTTCAAGAAAAGATTGGACTGCCATTTGTCAGAAATGGTGTCGGGTCTCCCGCTTGGGCGGGGGTTGGACTAGATGACCTACAAGGTCCCTTCCAACTCTGATTATCTGTATCTGGTGCTCATTTTCACTATGGCTACTGGGGAAAGGATTATATCTGTATAAAGCCTCCACCCCACAATGCTTTGCAAAAGACGTCTTAAGTTTTATCTGGATGAAGAATTCTGTATCTCTTAACAGATGGGTCTCCAATGTATTGGTTCACCAGCTTCTATCTGCACCAATGAAACAGTGGGACTTTCTTTTTATTCCCCCCAATCCCCCAGCTTTGTTTAAAACCTGAAATTGATGAGAATTCTGCCAGTGTCATCTTTCGGCTGCAGTGATGAGAAGAAAAGTAAAATCTGGGGGAAATGGTTCATTAGAAGCCCATAGTCACTTTGGATAGTGAAATGGGCAACACATAAATTTAATAAATAAAATAAATGTTGTACTAGTGGACAAGTGGATACGCTGGATGGGAAGGTACAGGCGAGAA